GTCTTTAAATCCCGTTCTTTTAATTTATACTGCTGATGGTTCACATATGTCTGTTAGTGATTTTGGTCATGTTTCTACTCCATGTTGTGCCTAGTCTCTAAATCTCCTTTCTGTTGGTCAACTTCTTGAAAGTGCTTTTATCGTAACCTTTTCTTAGAAAGGTTGTGATGTGCAGGATTCGAAGACGGGCCAGCTAGTTGGGATTGGGCATAAAGTTGGTTGCCTTCTGGAGCTTACATCTCTACATTTGCCCAGTTCTTGTTCTTCTCAATCTCTTAGTGCTGCTGTGTCTTCCAGCGTTTGGTATTCTCGTTTCGGTCATACATCTTTATCTCGTGTTCAGTCTTTAGCTTCTAGTGGTTACTTAGGCAATGTTAAATTGGAACATTTTGATTGTGTGTCTTGTCAACTTTGGAAACAGAAAGCTTTACCTTTTAATGAAAGTAATTCTTTGTCTTCTGCACCTTTTGATTTGGTTCATTCTAATATTTGGGAACCTGCTCCTATCTCTAATAAGGGCGGGTCTCGTTACTTTGTTATTTTTGTTGATGATTATTCTCGGTATACATGGATTTATCTTTTACATGATCACACTGGATTACTTAATGCTTTTTGCGATTTTAAGCAGATGATAAAAACTTAGTTTGATTGCACTATTAAAGTCTTTCGGTCTGATAATGCCATGGAGTATACTCCTTTTTCTTTCCTTGAAGAACTTCAAGAGGTAGGCACTTTGTCCCATTGATCCTGTCCATACACATCCTGAGAAAATGGCTGTGCAGAACTTAAGCATCGTCACATTCTTGACACTGTTCGCTCTCAACTTCTCTCTGCATCCCTCCCGAAATTCTTTTGGGAAGAAGCTATCCTAATCGCTGTTTACACTATTAATCGAGTTCCAATCCCTACTCTCCCCAATAAGTCTCCATTTGAGGTTTTCTATGGAAAGATACCCGATTATTCTCTTCTCAAAGTGTGTGGTTGTGCTTGCTTTGTCTTACTTCCACCTCATGAATGTACAAAACGTGAACCTCGCTCTCCTCTCTGTTGCTTTCTTGGTTATGGGATAGAACTCTAGGGTTATCGGTGCTATGACCCTATTTAGCATCAAGCTATGTCTTATCCACCCATTTGTTCATCTCCCTGCTATGACCCTGTTTGGCAGCAAGCTATGTCTGAAGAACTTGATGCTCTTCACAAAACTCATAATTAGGATCTGGTTGACCTGCCTCTTGGAAAGACTATAGTTGGGAACAAATGGGTGTATAAGAGGAAAACGAACTCCGATGGTTCTGAAGTAAGACATAAATCTTGTTTAGTAGCAAAGGGCTTTACTCAGGAGTTTGGCATTGACTACGAGGAGACATTTGCTCCTGTTGCTCGTATTACCTCCATCCGTTCTCTTTTTGCTGTCGTCTCTACACATCAATGGCCTTTATTGCAGATGGATGTCAAGAATGCCTTCCTACATTTGGCTGAGGAGGTCTATATGCAGCCTCTTCCAGGGTATCCTCATCCTCCTGGTAAGGTCTTTTGTCTCCGACGTGCATTATATGGGCTTAAGCAAGCTCCCCGTGCTTGGTGTGCCAAGTTCAGCTCCACTGTTGCACAACTTGGGTTTGCTTCTAGCCCGTACGATTCTGCTCTTTTTACTTGTCACACTGACACTGGAGTCACTATTCTACTACTTTATGTTGATGATATGATCATTACTGGTGATGATAATTTTGGCATTCATGAGCTTAAGCAGTTTCTGTGTCAGCATTTTGAGATGAAAGACCTTGGTTCTCTTAGCTACTTCCTCTGCTTAGAGGTGTCTCCTACCTCTGATGGCTACTCTTTGAGCCAAGCCAAGTATACTTCTGATCTTCTCACCTGTGCTGGTCTCATAGATTGTAAGATAGGTGATAGTCCGCTGGAGCCCAACATCAAACTTTGTCATACTGATGGGGAGCTCCTTCCTAATGCCACTCGTTATCGACATCTTATTAGGAGTTTGATTTATCTCATTGTCATTAGACCAGACATTTCCTATGCAGTGCATCTTGTTAGCCAATTTATGTCAGTTCCTCGTTCCATTCACCATGCAGTTGTTCTTCGCATCTTATGCTTTGTGAAGGGAACATTATTTCATGAGCTTCATTTTTCCTCTCACTCATCCTTGACATTGAAGGTTTACTTTGATGCTGATTAGATAGGCGACCCTACTGATTGCCGATCTACCACTGATTTTCTTTTTCTACTTGGAGACTTTCTTATCTCTTGGCAGAGCAAAAAACGGACCGTTGTTGCTCGCTCTAGCATTGAGGTTGAGTATCGAGCCCTTGCTAACACTACTTCTAAACTTCTTTGGCTTAGTTGGCTTTTCCAAGATATAGGTGTTCCTCAGCCCTCTAGCACTCTGCTTTATTGTGACAATCATAGCGCTATCTAGATTGCTCATAACGATTTTTTCATGAACGCACAAAATATATTGAAATTGACTGTCATTTTGTATATCGTCATCTTTAGGAAGGGACACTTAACCTCTTGTCAGTTCATTCGGCTGATCAGCTGGCTGATATCTTCACAAAGGTTTATCCACCTGGTCGCCATCGTTCTTTGATTTGCAAACTCTAGTTGACATTTTCAATACCACCTTGAGTTTGAGGGGGGATGTTAGCATATCTCCCTAATTATATTGATTGACCAATCTCCATGATTGTGTAATTGTATAATTAGAGCATGATTTGTATAATTAGCATTATTTATACCTCGTGTGCTTGCCTCCTTCACTTATAAAAGGAGGGCTCATGTATAGTTTTATTTATTACAGAATACAAAAGTTATTCACAAGTCTTCCTCTATTCTCTTAGTTTCAATAAAAGTATAAGTTCAGAGAATTACATTGTTCTCACTAAATTGATTTGTCTTATTGTAACACGACATGTATCTACAACGACTACTGAGTGAGCCTTTTCAACAATAAAACATGTGAGGACAGCAATTCATAATAGAATGGAGGATAAGTTTCTTGCCGATTGTATGACGCTCTACATTGAATGAGAAAATAGATGTGGATTCTATTATCGACGAGTTTGATGTAGTTAAAGCTCGACAAACACAACTTTAGTAGGTAATGTCATAATGAAATTTTATGTTGTATACTTTATAAAATTTTTTGCATATATATTTTAAATTTTAGCCCCTCTTAACATAATTTTCTAGATCCGTCCCTAAAGATTCCTTTTTGGTTTTTGCCTGAAAATCGTCATTTGTTTGAATAACAAGGAAACAAAATCTTCATTCTGTTGAGAAGAATGAAGTATCCATGAAGCAGAATTTGCACGAGATTGCAGAATGGATCACTTACCAAATTGAGACAACTTACTTTATAAATTTTTCTTAATACAATGAAAACAAAGAACCAATTCTTGCATGCATATTCACATCATGTGTAAAATGTAAATATGACTTGGTAAATGGATGTATGCAAATTTGATGATTTTCCAGTTAAAAGCTTACATGCCTAAGAGTCGAGGTTCTGGTTCTACCTAGTTCTACCTAGTACTGCTGACACCTATGTGATGCATGCCTCCCTTTTGAGAGTGAACTGCGCAATCACTCCTCACGTGCTTGGTCTAACAACAGCAATAACAAATGCCAAGGCACCCACAGGGATGGCTTTTTCCACAAGACTAACATTTGAGTATGATTGTACCCTCACTGATTATTGTATTAATCTCTGACTAGATGTAGAATTCTGATATGTAAATGTAAACTTGAATTGATAAAAACTCATATACAAGTACATCAGACATACCCGCACGAATCAAAGATCAAGTGACGTAACAAGTACTTCTAACATACCCATACAAACAAAATGAAATGATGTACATACAAGAAGATCTAGAGACCCAATGCCAGAAATTTTTGCAGGGAATGACAAATGGTGGCAATTTGGAATCAGTTTTACAATTTTATCTGAACGTTTGTACCAATCTAAACTTAAAAACTATTCATTTGCTTATCTTTCTTTTTACATTCAATTTTCTTTCCCCATTTTATTGGCTCCTATTATATAAATCTATTTTTGTGTATTGTATGTGGTTTTTTCCCAAAATCTATTATGTGGAAGCATTTTCAACTCAATTTCATTTTATTTTAAAAGGGTTGGCACCCTACCTTTACCACAAATTTTGGGATTGTGACGTTGAGTTTCCAGTTTAATAAAAAGGCTAAGAGAATGAATCGTTAATAATAGTTCTGAAAACACAAAATAAAGCTTACAAAATATTACATTGCAAGAAAGAGTTTACTAGGGTTTGAGATTTACAGGCTACCAATAATTCATTGACACTTCATTTTACACCCATTTTTAAGTACAAATGGTAGTGAGAGAAAATGTGGACATGTTAATTTAAAGTGACGAATCAATAAATTATTGGATGGACACTAGATCTTAACTCTTACTATTACAATTATTTATATTTGTTATCCTTTCTCAATAATGATGAGAAACAATTTGCAAGAACCACTACTAGAACTACTCCAGCGTTGTAGGGGATGATCATGAAATTATCTAGTCATAGGCTATATCTTTCGAAATTTAACCAAGCATAGAACTCACCCAACATCATCTTTAGCAATCAAAACTATGTTTATTATAACCCAAGATTAGTTTAAGATTCCTAAAATAACCAATTCAAATTTCCTTAACAAAACCTAGATGTTGTCTTAGTCTACCTAGTATCCATATATATTAACGCCCGAAGGGGGTAGGTATAATGTACAATATATATTCTAGATATTATTCTCCTCTGTTTCTATCCCACCTTCTAATTTAAGGGTCAGAAGGCAGTTATCGACAATCCCACGTGCTCATGATGCGAATACATTTATGGTGAAAGATCTTAAAGCAAGAGCAGAAGATAGAAAATACATTATTCAACTTCAACACAAACAATAAGGAGGTGTTCATTGAGAAATCTGTGATGAAGCAATTCTATAACACTCACGAATTTGCGAAAATTGAAAGCCATTAATAAGTTATACCTTGAGCTCGACTCCAGCTAGTTTATGATGAATAAGAACGCAATATAATGGTTCATAATTGCAAAAAAATGCAAAGGTGGTCATAATTGTGTTTAAGGCTATAATTCAGACGGTATGAGCAACAAGCAATATACATAGCAATGTAATCCTATTGGAATTTTATCGAAAGGCCAAAAGCACCTGAATACAAGGTCATAAGAGAAACAAAAGCATCAAGTGATCCAGGCATCTTCCATCTCCTTGGCGAGATATCTCAAAGAATCAACCCAAGTCCAAATTTATATCTGGAACTATATTCAGAACAGATTACAATTCACAAAGTAAGCTGGCCTGAGAATCATAATAAATCTTTGATGAAGTCGAGGTTTAATGTGTCACGAACAAGAAGGAACACCCCGAGAACTATAACAAGCATAATGCCAGATGACATAATCTGCTGCTCTAATTCTAATGGAAGCTTTCTCCCTCCTCTTACTGCTTCTATCAGGATCAATGCCAACGAGCCCCCGTCTAAAGCAGGTAGAGGAAGAAGATTAATTACTGCAAGATTAAGATTTAAAACAGCTGCAAATTGGAAAAGGCCATCAATGTTTGACTTAGCAACTTCTGCACCAACGGCTATAATGGCAACTGGACCCGAAACCTTACTGGCAGATTGAGAGAAATTTAAGAATGTCTGTTTCAAACTGTCCAGGACATTCGACGTCAAGCCCCAAAATTCACGTCCTGAGTAACTAAAAGATTCCATAATATTCTTTGGTTTAATATTCGAAATCTTAACATTTGGTGATAATTGAACTCCAATCCTACCAGTTCCATCTGAATTCTCATCAGGGGTGACATAAATCTCAACATTCTGCTGCCCCCTTCCAATCTTAAACAATATATTTCTTCCAGGACTTCTCTTAATAACATCAACAACTTCAGAAACTAAATTAGGACCTGTTTTTGACAATTCAATGTCATTGACAGCTAAAATAACATCACCAGGCAGTACCCCATCCCGCGAAGCAGCTAAATAAGGCCTAACCTCAGGCACAAGTACCCCAGGAAAGGCCTCTTGAACAGGCAATCCAACAGACAACACTTGTGCGAAGATTATAACATAGGCAAAGATAATATTAGCAATCACACCAGCAGAAATAACAAGAACCCTATCAAATATTGGTCTATTTTTCAGTAAATTCACATCGTCCGCTGGAATATCACTATCAGGATCATTATCAGGGAAACCCACAAAACCACCTAGAGGAAATGCTCTAATCGAATATTCTACATTGTTTGCATTAAACTTTGCTAAGATTGGACCAAACCCAACTGCAAATTTACTCACATGGATGCCCTGAAGATAAGCTGCCAAAAAATGACCACTTTCATGTACAACAATGATACCAGTTAATACTCCAGCTGCTTCAAGAACTGATTGAGCACTCTCAAACCCACCAAAATCCAGCCCAGCAATGGCCTTTGTCCTAAACCTTTCCCTCCCACTATCATTGGACAAAAATGGGTTCTTGGAGTGAAAAATTGAGAATGAACCGCCAGAAACTGAATGAGATACTGATTTTGACAATTGGGCTGTATATTTTAAAGGAAAATCTGAGATGGGTGTCTTCGAATTAATCAACCTAACGAGAGTGTGCGAGGAAGAAGAGGATAATAAGCTGGTTAGCATTGTGATATTTTCTGATAAGATTATTATGAGGAAAAGATAGGCTTTTCGAGTGAAGCATGGATAGAATAGAACATAGTGCAAAAATTGGATAATTGGCAAATCTGATTTGTGGAGGCGAAGCAACTTAGATGTTCCAATCCGAATCTGTGACCGCAAGTTTTATCCTTTTTGGGTGTTATTCGTGTAGTTTTTGGTTCCAAATACGGGTCTAAAATATGAGAAAATGGGCCGAACTATCTTTTTAAAAAAATTTTAAACTAATTTTTTTTTAACAAAAAAATATTAAAATTGAAGAATGTCCATGTTACTGATGAAGTGGGGCGTCAAGCGTGATACATCACCACTAAACGAGATCTATTCACAAGTACACCCTCATGAAAAATGTATGATGTATCTTAAATTGAAACATGATCATTGTTTGTTATGATTTGTTTTAGGAACTAACAGGTCATTATGTTGTGTGACTATACATGTTAATATGTGATGGTAACTAATAATATTGAAGTAGATACAGTAACTTTTCGAATAACTTCGGGTGGATGTTAGTTATATAGAAGCAGATTTGTTGCAAGTGTCTCGTGTAATGTTTGAGAGAATATAATTGAGTTTTGACTTGACTGTAAATAAATCGCTTGCTTATAATCTTTGACTGCCTTGTATTTTTGGGGAAGATTTGGTTGATCATCGTCTTAATTTGATAGTAATAGGCTTGAGAAATTTGTTCCTTCTATCATGTTTATACTAGTGCATAATCCTTAAATTGAATGTTGTTATCCTCTTCCGAGAGAAAAGCTCAAAATCTCAATACTTATCCTAGGCATTTGCATGTTGTGATTGTTCCGGTCTGGTGGTGAGTGAGCGCAAAGCTCCCTACTTTAAGCGCTCGAGTGGGAGTTTGGCCTATATTTTGACTTCTTCAAGGCTCACTTCAACTAATCAACCAAAATCCAACCGAATTTGGATCAAAATTCAACAGAACTTGAATAGGAATTATACCATTTACAGAGAAGGAACTTGTGTGTTATTTCTAAATTGATTTGTTACAAATGACAAGGTGTAGGTTTATACCATTTACAGAGAAGGAACTTGTGTGTTATTTCTAAATTGATTTGTTACAAATGACAAGGTGTAGGTGCACAATCTTTAATACAATTACGGTAAAATACTCTGAGATATGCTTCTTATTTGTTTTTTTCTTTGATTTTACTTTGGAGCAAAAATGGGAGTGTAATATTTATACGAATTTCTTCTTTCTTATATTCTTCGATAGGAGTTTGCAACTTCCTTTCATGTATTTGGTTGTTATTTGACGAACATGTCGGTTTAGATTCTTGTTGGTGTTGAGGCTCTTCTATCGTACCATTTTTCAGCCATTTTTGATATGGATATTTATCACGGAAGCTTGCTCAAAAAATCTTCAAAACACCTTTTTCTACGAAACAACAAATCCAAATTGCTCCAACTCATAACCAATATATTCACCTCAATTACTCCTAGTCTTATCCACAAATGACAAGATAACAGTGATGATTTGTGGGCCACAAAGGCACGGGAAAAACAACAGAAGAATGCACGAGAAGAGACCAAAATACACAATATGAAAGCACCAGTTTTCTCTCAACTATGGCAGTCGATTTGTAGTAGTAGGAGCAGCCACATTTTCCCCTTTTTTTTGTTCATACACAAATCACACACTAATGGCTAGGATAGGAAGCAACATATATATAAGGTTAGACTAGACTTTATGTAAAACCCCGAAAATTTTATAAAATAAAATTTATTTATTCTATGTGCTATACATTTATATTTTGAAATTGAAGGATTAAAGTGAAATAGTTTAATTTTAATTTTATTACATTTTGATAGAGAGAAAATAAGTGTGTCGATATTGGACTCTTTTTATAACTCGTAATTAATTAGAATTTTTCAACACAGGAAAGAGTTTTTTTTTTTTTTATACTACATTTAGTTAAGTCCGATTAAAAGAATAATAGGTTAATAGAGTTGGTAGGGGCTTGCAATAATAATTAAGTGAAAATTTTTTCTCTTTTAATTCCTATGACACATGATTTATATTTGATATGAAACCAATGGTGGAGGACAATTCAAATATAACTTTTTAAAACCAAGTCCAAGTTAAACATATGTCCTATTTTCAATGGGATGATTGTACCAAGAAATCAGTAGTAGAGTATATTACTAACTTTACCATTTGAAATAAATTCTTATCCAAATTTCTTGTATCACACAGTTTTTCAATTCTAATTGTATACAAACTCAATTGAGAATCAAGGTAAAATACTTTTGTACAAGTGGTTTGTTTCCGAATGCTTTTATATTCAGTAATTTACACATGAATTGTCAGTGGACCTTCGGATTTGACCTAACGAAATATGAACTCTATTGGGTTCTTTATAACGAAGTGTGAAATTTTTTGGGAATACAAAATAACTAATGATGAGTATCTCATTTGGCATATACTCCAAAAGAGAAATGTGGTATGAAATGTTTATTTTATTGTTATATAATTGTCCATGAAATTGTACATATTTAATTGGGTAATTTTAAATATTAACTTTTACAATAGATTTTAGGTTAGTTCTAGTCGATTGGAACTGTGGCGATATGGTGATACGGAATGTCAAAAGAATTCAAACAAAAAAAAATAAATTTGAAAAGTATTACGTTTTATGTCTTTCTATTTGTTAGTTAGTTTAATTTGACAAAAAAAATGTTATTTAATTAGTTAGGTGTTTATGTTTTTTGAGATATGATTTCCATGATTTAATTTAAATTTGTGAACTTTTCAGTAATTTTATTTCTTCTAAATAAATTTGTTTTTAGTGTTCCGCCTTTAGTACAAAGAAAAGTGAAATTTTTGTAACACTTCAATATTTATGAAAATTTGGGGTGTTACACTTTAGTTGGGCCAATAAAGAGTTAAATGAGCCAAAATTCAAAACCATCCAATAGATAATATATATGGGCAGCATTAATTTATTGATCTACCTCCAACGGTACATGTTGTTTTTGGATCGAGCCTTTGGACTTGGTTGTTGGTAACAATTTCTCTCATTGGGCAATGTCTATGAAATTCAGTCCGACGTTTACATTATAACCAAAGATGTATTGGGTATCAAAATTTAATAAATCTCCACATTGATACCTAATTAACGTACAAGCAATCAAAATATAAAGTTAGTAGTTGCATAAACAAGATAATCAATAAAATTGGAATAACAGATCTTATCTCGTATTTCGGACCCGAAACACAAATCATACCTGCCCCACGTACTTACTAGAGCTAAGGTCACAAACAAGTATCTAGGTAGAAACAGATAATCACGGTGAACAATCAAGAGCAAATAATCATTCGATGAAGAAATAATATAGGATTACTCACATATCTTTTCAAAAAATACATTTACACACAACAACATATTAACTCTAAGTTAATCAATCAAATGGTCAAAACATACGCTACAAATGCATAAAATGACCTCAGATTTCACGACACTTATCATATCTCCTTCCATGTTAATCACACCTCAAAAACATATATCTTCTCTCATTTCCCACCATACTCACTAGATTGATCACTAAATTCATGGTCTTCACAGATAAAGAATTCCGACATTTAATTACATCTTCACTCGTAACTCAAATATCACACTCCACATTCCCGATATAAACTACCAAGGTATCCCTAGGCATCTATACTCCATCTTACCAAAGACAGTCAACATACTTACTATTTATGCATCCCAACTCACTATGCAAGCAAACAATTATACCAAGTAATCAAGTAGCTCTCAAATTCATCTAAACGTACATATCAAACTCATTGACATGCAACAAAACTAAGCAATCACACACATACAGAAAATGATTGCACAAATGCACATGCAGTAACTAAAATTATTCTCAATAAACCTCATTAGGGTCATGACTCGACCCTATAGCCACAATTGCCCCACCTCACATCTTACCCTTATGTTTATTCTTCTTCTTGGGCCAGTTCCTCACAATGTGTCTAGACTTAATACAGTTGTAACACCGTTCACTGCAAGACTTGTCAAAACCCTTGCCCTTCTTCTTACCTTCATCATCACTTGAGCCACTACTCACACTTTCTTAAGTTCTTCACAAATTCATTTATTTAAACTTGATTCTACTCCTCATCAAATATAACTCAATACTCTTCTTATCATCTATTTCAGACTTAATCTCCATCTATTTACTTTTAAGAGAATCAATAACAATATTAGGTGTTAAGGTTTCTTTATCATACTTAATCGCATCCTTAACTTGCTGTAAGCCAGGTATATAATTCAACAAAATAATGGCCTTATATGATTCAGACACTTTCTGTTCACAATTAATGATATATTAAACAAGTTTGAAGGATCCATTTGAAAACAGTGTCGGATATATGTAAAATAATTGAAGTGTAAGCAAGTTAATTATATTATTCTATTTGTGTTTTTTGGCAAATTTGTTGATTTGCCATCTCTAACTTTTGAAACCTTTTGTTGAATCAAAATTCTCTTCATCTTTTGTTTCCAATGTGAAAAATTTCATTTCTCACTGAAAATTCTAATTTCGAAATGTGAGACATTTTGAAAAAGTAGAACAACTAAAGTGCATAAATAGATTACACAAAGTAATCATAATGTCACGATATACACCATTCTAGATTCCCGAGGATTTGTGAAATTCAAGATCTCAGTATTAAGGGAATGTTCAAACGGGTCAAGTTTAGGTGTTTTAGCAGGATAATCAATGCAATACGGAGGTATGTCAACAAGAATTTAAATTCTCACGTAATGCAGTCTCAGATAATGACTAAATGACAATTAAAGTATAAAAATAATTACCAACTTACAATCAAAATCAAGACTTCAACTATGGCATGTAATTCCTAAATTTCTAGTACAAGCTGTGATTACCCTACATAGTAATCCTAATCCTATTATCATCCCACACGATGACGCACTAATGCTAAAATTTAAATGAGATAAATCAATACATCAGAGTGAACCAATCCGAGTCCGTAAATAATGAAAGATGTGATTTTACTGCTTTATTGCCACTGGTAACCGCCCTAAAGTCTCCGCAATTGCATGAATCAATCAATTACGATCGATCCCAAACATGTGAAGAATAAATCTGTCTAAATTTCTGTATAACCTAAAATAGAAAACTAACACTACCAAAATGTCAGAAAAAATGTCTGGAACAATTCAAACATTTTCAACATATTCAATAACAAGTTAGGGCAAGTCATTGCTGAATTGAGAAGTAAAATTTCTACGAAAATTATGGAATCACATCCTTTAGAATTCTATAGTTACAATTCATAAGCCTGAAATAAAAATTTCGTCATTACACAATGCCCTATTGCCTTATGTTAGTCAGGAATGCTAAATAGTAAATAGATACCAAACGTGATGCAGGTTCAAGTAGGACACACATTCTTGGATCAAAATATGTTGAACAAATTCCAATTTTCTACATCCAATAACATTTTCGATTATTTACGCAAAAATTTGAGCATTATAAATTTACAGAAACAATACAAAATTAAAATGACATACAGACTCTAGAGCTGTCCCAAAAAAATTGTGTTATTTTGATGAAATTAAAATGGATCGTCAGTCGCACTGTCACAGGTATGAGGAAAAACGAATAAAAAACCAATTTTGCCTTTAACTCTCTAAACCCTTAAGAAAAAAGAAAAAAAAAGGGACCAAAACTAGGCCCCCTTTGATTTTGGGCCTGAGGCGTAGGCCTCAACTGCCTCGGCCCAGGATCGGCTATGGATACAACCTTCCCGACAACTTAAACATTATCTAATTGTAAAGAAAAAAAAAATTTAACGGTTTCTAAAATGTCTCATTTCCTATTCGATTGAACGTAGAATTATAACTTCAACCTTTTGCTGTAATGAGAGGAAGTTCGAGTTCGATACATGAACATAGAACATGGGTGTCCCGAAAGAAATAATATCAATCAATTTCCTTGCAACAACAGAAACTCCACCAACGGCATACTTTTTTCATTTTCAAATAGAATAATGAAAAAGCCAAAAAGGTACAACTAGCAAAACCAATGTTTTCCTAATAAATACTGACCAGGTTCAACGAACCTGCAAGCTCCTCCATCTTTCTTACACTGTTTAATGTTCAATTCCAGCACATAGAATCCTTACAAACAATGTTCATAATATGAAATGGAAAAATAATTTCCATTTCTTGTTGAGTTTTGGCGCTGTTCAGTTCTTCCTATGAGGTTCAAGGTACTTGCACTACACTATCTAGTTTATAGGTTTAAAGAATTTCTGGTTTTTGCATCAAATAGCAAGGTTTATTTTCAAGATTTCTTTTTCATAAAACTACTTCAAAACGTGTACATATTTGTCTATTCATAAAGTTTTAAATGAGAATTTATAAGCATTGTGTTCTTAACTTCTTCGGCAAGTTTGGTAAATCAGATTAGAAACATCAGAAAATCATTTGTTACCATCTAATACTGCATAGCAACGTGCACTTATTGAGTTATACATAAATTTGGAATATCGATCTCGATCTCGAACTCCCCCTACCCCGCCTCTTCCCTACTTCTGGACTGGAGGTTGAAATTTTTTGGATAAGTTCTATATACAAATTGCAAATTTTGTTTTGGGATGGAGCATTAGGGAATTTAACTATGTATTGTGAAGTAAAGGAAGTTAAATGGTCAAATAATTAAAATGTTTCAGGGAAGCATTTTTCTTGCTCAGCTTTCATCATGCAAGGAAACAGAAAAAACACTGGAAAAGAAATTGAACATGAAGCCTGGATACTATTCAACTGCTGCCCAGAATTCCTAGCAACAGTGTCTTAGTATGTGTCCTTGTGCTGATATACAACAAGAGTTCCCCTTCAAACTTCAAGTTTACGTTATGGCATGTTTGATACTGGAAATTAAATCCTGTTATTCATTGTAATTTTGTGACGTATTCAGTACTATGTGACAAATATGCATTTGGTTTTATTCTTAATAATTCTAATCTATATTGTGTAATCAGACAGTATATTCGATTTGTTTATCTTTTTTAGCTAATGATATAATGATCAACATCAATAGATTTTCTACAACTTGTCATCTATCTATTTTTGTTATGATGTCCATGAAGGATGCAATTCCTTTTAAGGAAAGGAGAAAGAACACAAAATATCTTATTTTATTTTTGTTAGTAGACCGTTTCCAAGTTAACCTATTTTCAATATTTTTGTATTGTCACTACTTATTTAATCATATAAAATATGTTGTATTACACTTCAGGCTTTGAACTATTATGAATATATGCTTCTAGGAGTAATTCATTGGAAAGATTTCGAAGACTAAAAAACCAATTCACTAGTAACATGTCTGATAAAGTTTTATGGACAAAGTTGAACTATCAAAATTATAGCCTTTAGACATGTATTTCCACAAACCAAAACTTGATGACCTACTTTATTAGTGTCCTGCTACAGGAAATTTGAGACCACGGAGCCATGGAATAAGATATACATGTAAACTTGAGCTGCTACTTTGGACTTTATGTGCTTCTTTTGCTATATGTTTCCCACTTTCTTTTGCTTTTCAGATTCTCTCACCTATAAAATTTTTCAAGCAGCAACCAACTTGCCCAACTTTAGGTGAAGATTACGTCGGGACATTAACTTTGGGGAGAATGAAATCAGAAATAGCCTCATTATTTTTTATATTTTATGAATGCTCTTTAGAGTTATTACTTGGAGGTACAGGTAATTTACGACCTACTCCTCCAGAGTTTGGGATACGCTCTTCGTTCGTACTGAGAGTTTCCAACTTTTGATAATGAGGGATTGGGAGGACACTAGAAAAAGGAGAGGAGAGGAGATAGATGCGGATCAAGCAATCCAAGGATCCCTTCAGGAAAACATTTTGAGAATGAAGAATAATTGAAGTAAATGTTGGGAAATTATTAATTTGCTATATGGGTCAACATATATAATTAAGGGAATACCACATAAATCATTCATTTAAAAATCATATTTCAAAAATAACAGACTTCTAAAAATCTTTAAAAAATAAGGCGATAATTAAATTTATTAGATATTTAATTATAATATAATATAATTAATCTACTTATTCTACCCCACCTCTACCTTATCCACCCTTCATATCAAACCATTCTCTCTCTCACCTCCGACGGCGACTCTGGCAGCTTCTCCGACGACGGCTTAGACGACTTCCGAGCGGCAATTCCAACGACTTTCCAGTGATGGCTCCGGCGACTTATCCCGTTCCGACAAATATTCCGACGACCTCTCCGACCGTTTCGTCGACTATTTCGGTGACCACTCACTTTTCCGCTGACTACCTTTTTTCTTCTTCTCTTCTTTTTTGGCAATAACCTGTGATCAGTTGCATTAGATCTGTAACTTGTGCACATTGTCATCTGTGATCAGTTTTATTAAATCTGTGACCTAATCATGTGGGATGAATATATATATGATCAATTTCAAAATTAAAAAATAAAGTTTGAAATTTCAAAAATCAAATAATATTAAAATTTTAGTTATGAAATAATTAATCAAAAAAATATATTTGTAATTAAACATATTAAATTCACAACTTTTTTCCGAGCAATAACTTGTAACTTGTGTACATTGTGACATATAAAATATGATTTTCAACCTATGATTTGTTACTCGTGACTCGTAATATAAAATGTGACTTATAAATTTGATCTGTAACTTCTATAAAACGACACGTGATCTGTTAATATTGATTTGTGACTCGTTTATACTGATTTGTAACTTACATGAAATGACTGTGACTTGTGAACTCAAACCTGTGACCTTCATTATGACCTTAATGGCGAATTGTAACTCGTAACTATGACCCACAATTGTGACCCGCAGACCAGTACCATAATCTACCACCTTCACCTCCAACTTTACTACATTCACTAACGTGTTATATGTGACTAATTGTGACCAACTTTGTCTTCAATGTAACTGTTGGTGACTATATTAGTCTAATTTGTGACTATATGTAAACAAGTCACACATAGTCACAGTTAATATAAATCTGGTCACAAAAAGTCATAATGAAGATAGACTTGGTCACACTTTATTTTGTCACCACTACCACTATGGTATTACCATCAATCCCAACAACGTCAACCAAGTGCGCACCACCAACACTTTCAACAAATCCTAACCACCACCACTGGCATCATCACACCACTGCCACCACATGAAAGATCTGTTGCTCATAGCTGCAAGCTATGACGCGCTTCCTTTGAAGCCTCCAAACATTGACCAAGCTATTAGACTCCACCACCAACATGACCACCTCAACCTCTTCTTGACTAACATTCAGGCATAATACCTTCCCAAACACACTAAAAATCAAGCCGAACCCAGTAAATACGGATTATCTTTTGGGCAACACCATCTCTCACGATGCCCATGCCTTTACTACCACCATTGCGACCACCTGCACCAAAATCCACCACCACCACCTCCTCCTCCAACCGACAACTCACCACCACATCCACATCAAATATAAATTAACACAAAAATCGCAACCCATACACCACACCACAAATTCAGAGATGCGCACAACCACCACATAGATATGCACCACCACCACCCATACGCCTAACAGCACACCACCATCTCACCTAGATCTAAGAACAGCATCACTGCAGATCTTCACCAATGTTCCTCCTCTTGCAGCAGCGATGCCATCGACACAACGAGAAGCTTCACTGTATCACTTCTTTGAGTAGCCCTCGCCGCTGCTTGTAGTAACAGCGATGTCGGCGATGAAGAGAAGCTTGGTATCCGCATCGCTGCCAAAGGCTACTTGAAGCTGCAACACTTGATTGATTTGACCCATTCAGTGATTGATTTGTCGAAGGTTAAGAGGCTGAAAGAGGATTTATTTGGACAATTTTGGGTGATGATGAGTCAGAACTCTACATAATGATTTAGGATCTTAACTCATTTATGAAAAGTTTCGAGGAGGAAATTAGGGGTTCGCCTTCACCGAAGGTGGATTTGAAGTCGGGTTTTGAAGAGCCTTAGTTGGATCTCGAAAATTTGTTGGAGGCTTCAGATGATGAGACTGGGCTTGCTTCGTCGAAGGCATCTCTAGCTGGTGTATTGAGTGAAATGAATAGGCTAGGTGAGAGATGAGGTACGTAGAGAGAGAATAGGATAGGTGGTGGTGGGATGATCTGTGTATATTATGTGTAATTAAATTTTTATTAATTTTAATTATAAAACCTAATTAACAACTGATTCGTGAAAATTGAACTTAATCCCCTAGTTTTTTGAAAATGAATGTTTAAATGTAGGTTTTTAGGTAATTTTCCCTATAATTAATTGTTTATAAGTTAAGCCCAAAAATAAAGCGATCTAATAAATAATTAATTAATTGGGTTTAGGACATCTAACTAAAGTGTGGGATTGATTATACGTGGAAAGATCGGATTCCTTTAAAATTGCATTTCATGATGGACGAAATATATATGAAAACTATACATGGGGTTATTATCTCCAATTCATATGCAATTTCTCATTCTTTGTGTTATTTCATCAACATAAGAATACAAGAGAAATCATATTGAAGAGAAAGATCCAAAACCTACAATAAAAAATAGGCAATCTACAATCAAGAATCAAAATGAAAGAATTCAAGAAACAAGATTATGGATCGAGAAGCAAAATCAAGGACAAAAATCCAAGAATTGAAGGCGGTAAAATTTAAGATTGAAAGTAAGAAACTAATCAAGAAGGGATTCCAAGTTCATTTTTAATATCTGGAATCAAGATCCAATAATAAAGAGTCATTCCCAAAAAATTAAGGTATGTTCCGCATTAATTAATATTCTTGTTGATTTGACATGGAGAATCTTGGCAATAAAGTAATTAGGTTTTCATTTTATTAAAATTTAAAGTTTCATAAAATTTCAACTAATGGTATTAGAGCCGACTCCATATTAAACCATTGGGATTAAAGGAAGAATTTTTGTTTTTGAAATTCATATATTGAGTCTGGAATATTTTAATTTAGAATATGAATTTTAGCCATGAATTTCAAAATTCAGAATTATTCAAGAAAAAACTTTTATGGTTGAAATTCATAATTAGGGTTTATATAAAATTTTCCAAATGTGAATTTCAGACCCCATATATCAAGTTTTGGGTTCAAGTTAATTTTCCGGCATTAAAGAAGCACTGCAGTGCTATAACACATGCAACACCGTGATTCGGAAAAAGAAAAAGGCAGTGCCAAGCGTTGCAGCACCTGTTTTGCTGCATTTTTTTGTTTTAAGTTTTTTAAAAAATAAAAATAAAAATAAAAATAAAATGTTAAAGATTCAACAATATCAGGGGGTAATCAATTTCAAATTTTGGTATTTAAACATTTTTTTTGGATTATTAATTTTCTAAAATAGATTGTTTGATGCAACATGTTACCAAAGTAACCTCTATTGTCTAAATTAATTTATTTGAAATATTAGGAAAGTTGTGTGTACGTAATTCATGCGGATATTCACCGATCCAAAGGAAAGGTCAATATTTGACATAATTATTTACACAACTGTGTAATAAATATGTGACAATTGTAAAATCTTCCATTATGTGAACAATGAGCTGGTCCAAAGATAGACTTTACGTTTGACCGGATTTATTGTCAACGTTTAATTACTACACCAAGAGTACCACTTATAAGTTGATATTTCTATTCAAAGACTAAATATCAATGTTGTGCTCGTCTTGTGATGGGGCCTACCACTATTTGAATTATTGATTGTCCAATACCGATTCCCACGTGAACAAGTTATTTAGGTTTAGATTTTTTATTTGGTTAATCTATCTGCTTCTGCTATATCTATCAACACCAATTCAATTCATGTGCTTGAACCAAAGTTTAAGGATTAGAAAGAGAACGTTAGTATCATTCTTGGCAATATGGATCTAGACTTTGCTATAACGATTGAACAATCCACTACTTTTATGGATAAGGATTCTACTAGTAAAACGGGACTTGAATAAGTGG